GCCGGCCCTTTCGGGCGCCCCCGGCCCCCCCGCCCCGCCGTCACATGAGCCTCACGTGGCGGCGGCGCGGGGGGAGGCGGGGCCGGGGCTCCGGGCCCCCCCCGCACGTGTGTCCCGGCGCGGCGGGGCCGGGGGAGGCGGCTTGGGGCCGAGCCGGGCCGGGCCGTGCCATGTCGTGCCATACAGAGTCATACCGTGCTGTGCCATGCTGTGCCATGCTGTGCCATACAGTGTCATACCGTGCCGTGCCGTGCCATGCTGTGCCATGCTGTGCCATACAGTGTCATACCATGCCCTGCCGTGCTGTGCCGTGCCATGCTGTGCCATATCGTGCCATACCGTACTGTACTGTGCCATCCTGTGCCATACAGTGTCATACCGTGCCGTGCCATGCTGTGCCATGCTATGCCATACAGTGTCATACCGTGCCCTGCTGTGCTGTGCCATATCATGCCATACAGTGTCATACCATGCTATGCTATGCCGTACCATGCCGTGCCCTGCTGTGCCATACCGTGTCATACAGTGTCATACTATGCCCGGCCATACCGTGCGGTACTGCTGCTGCCTCCCGAGATCGGGGAGAAAGAAAAAAAAAAAAAAAACAAAAAAAATCACCCCCAAAGCGACACAGGCACTAAACACGGACCCGGAGAAAGCTGCAGCCGCGGAAGTTTGGAAACGGGGGGGAAAAATAAAATAAGTGAGAGCTGCTAAAATGTGGCTCTGGGGAAATGGTGCTGCTGCAGTTTTGGGGTGGTAGGACCCCGTTCCTGGGGGTATCCAGGGCTTGCAGTAACTTTCTCCAGTGAAAAGTATCCATCCCTGCTCATGGCAGGGGGTTGGAACGAGGTGGGCTTTAACCTCCAACCCAAACCATTCCGTGATTCTATGATCAGCAGGAAATTCCCCGCTGTGAGGGTGGGGAGGCCCTGGCACAGGCTCCCAGAGAAGCTGTGCCTGCTCCTGGATCCCTGCAAGTGTTTCATGGAACAGCCCGGTCTGGTGGAAGGCGTCCCTGAGCATGGCAGGGTGGAATGATGATAATTTAAGGTCCCCTCCAGCCCAGACCCTTCCATGACATGCCATGCCCGTGCCAGCGGTTGCACAACGCCCAGCAATGATAATGGTTGGTGTGTGCCTGCCAAGGCAGAGCTCTCCTGACGGGCCGTGGTCACTTCCCTGCTGAGTGCTGAGCAAGTAGAGGCAGGCTCAGCTGATAAAAGGTGCATTTACCGAGATAAGGGAACAGCAGAGCTCCAGCACTGAGCTGCTGCTATTTCCTGCTGCTCCACCTCGGGAGGAATCCGAGGGCAGGAGGTGCTACAGAGAGCACAGAGAGGTTTTGGATGGGTGATGGAGAGAGGCTGTTTAAGGCTTATCCCCATCCAAAGGTGTCTGTTGTTACCAGGAAGAATTCCAAGGGAAGTCAGAGCCTCTGAAAGATGCTAGGCATAAATGTAAGGTCTGTAAAAGCCCAAAATCTCCTCAACAAGCTCCCAGCAGCACCTCCAGTGTGAACACACAGCGCTGTGTCAGTGCCTCGGGGCTCCCACAAAACAGATTTTGGGTAGTCCCACTCAGCATGGTCCTCTCAGCGTCTGACACCGAGCCTGCAAACCTGCTGGTTATGGCCAGGATCACGGAATCCCACAATGGTTTGTGCTGGGAGGGACCTTGAAGACATCTCAATCCAAGCCCTGCCACGGGCAGGACCTTGAGGGTCTCTGTGGTGCCGCAGCCCTGCTGCACTGTTCTGGAGAGGATTTGGGGCTGAGCACGGAGCTCCGAGCAGCACAGAGCCACAGCTCCGAGCTGTGAGCTCCCACAGCAGAGCTGCTCCTTCCTGCAGGCACGGAACCAACTCGGCAATAACCATCAGGGACATGGGGGCGATGTGTTTGTCCCCTGCTGCAGCTCAGGGGACTGTAGCCAGCCTCAGTAAGGAGCCCTGCAGCAGACAGTTCGTTCTCTCTGTGCCCCCAAGACCAAAGATGTTATTTTCCAAACAAAGAGTGAAAAAAACACAGACAATTTTTCATCTGTCCCATCACTGACCCTTTGTCCAAGGCAACAGAAATAATTAGAGCTTGCTGCAGCCTTTTGCTAATGAAAAATGAGGTTTGGGGCCACCCTGCTCCGCATTTGAAGTTCAGGCTCCAAGAGTACGTGGACGGCTTCATGCCCGTGGATTGTCTGACTCCTGCATGCTCCTTCAGATATTTGGTACATTCCTGCAGTGGGTGGTGAGCCACAAATCAGGGTCAGAGGTAATCCCCAATTATTTAGCCCTTTTACTGTTCTCGTGCTTGCCAAACAATTCTCCATATCAGGATTTGCTCATGACCTTAAGGGACGTTGCCAAGGATTTAGGAGTCCCCCTAAAAGGAGGATCCAAATGAAGTTATTACATTCTTGGGCATCAAGTGAGATTGCTCGAGAGTTGAGTTACATTTTCCTGGGGATCAGTTTTCATGAGCAAGGACTGATGCAATCATCAATTCGCCTTCTCGCTTGTGTTAGCCGAATTATTTCTACATGGAGGGCTCCTTTACACCACACGATTCAGGCAGTAACAAAATGTTCAAAAAGGCTGAATTCCCTCAAGCCATCCGTGGAGCAGCAGCTCTCCTGAGCGCTCCTCCAGCAGGGCTGGGAGTCACAGGACCGCGACAGCTCGTGTCCAAGGGGATTTGCAGTTATTTACAGAGGCACGAGAAGGTGAGAGTTTGGGGGCTGGTTTGGGGGTGGGCTGGGAATCCGAGACTCAGGATCTGCCTTTTCCCCGGGACTGTCCCCTTCCGACCGCGGGGATTTGGGGGAAAACGTTCCAAAAATCCCTGGCGCTGCTGTCTGATGGAAGCCTATGTGGGCAGCGCCGGGAGTTAACAGATGGGTTGTGGATTCGAGCTTACGATAAGGTTACTGAGGGTGGTTTTGTTTTAAAATGTCTCTTACTTAATATATCCATGAAGGCCAGGCATGTGCCTGTGGCCTGTAATCAAATCGCTGACTCTCCCTCTCTCCCATTTCCAGCAATCCCGGCTCGGGTTACTGGCACCGGAGGTGAAAGCTCAGCCCTGCCGAGGCCGGACGGGCGGGATGCGCTCAGCCCTCGGCATCCTCGGCAGGAACACCCCGTGCTTTCCGCACCAGGGAGAGTTCCTGCGGGAGCCAGGCTGTCTCTGGCAGAGCTGTGGGAGCGGGCTTCTCTCCTGCCCGAGCCCGGCAGCTCCGGCACGGGCGGGAGGCTCGGCCGGGGGCGCAGCGCCTCCATCCCCGCGGGGCCTGTGCCCTGCAGAGCGCGGTCAGCGCGGCGTGCAGCCTGCGGAGCTCCCAGGAGAGCCGCACATCTCCTTTCCCAGCCGCAGTGTCCGAGGCTGGGGAGAGCGCACAGCCCTGAGCCGGTCCCCCGGGACACCGCGGGAGCTCAGGCACGGTGCGAGGAGCAGTTTGACACCCAGCGGGCTCTGCCTCAGCCCTCTGGGAGTTGCAAAAGCCCGATGTGGTGTGAAGCCGGGCGGTTTCAGCCGTGTGTGACTCTCGATGGCACAGCTGGCCGCGCTCGCTGCCGTGGAACCGTCAGGAACCGTCACGAGTCGAGATTTAATATCGCAAATATGTGCATCCATCGCTGCTTCATTGCACTGGCTTAGGCTGCCGTGGGCTCTGCCTGGATAAAGCACTGGGAAAACACAGCAAGAGCTGTTGTCTCTGTGCCCTCCCTCCGGCACGACCCTGGAGCGCTGCCGGGCACGTGAGAGCTGCGGGAATGACGCTGGCATCGCTCAGCGAAACTCGCCCCAGGACTATTCAAATGAAAGCCATTCCCCTCTTTGAGCAGAGATGTTTGCCAGCACCCAGTGCAGCAGTGGGAGGAACGTGTAGGTGGAAACTATTTGGAAGTGGCAAAATTTGTGGACATTAATAAGAGACTTTAGCCCACTTTGATAGTGTGTTTAATAAAACACCGGCTTCCCGGTGACATGCTGCCCTGCCAAGCCCCGGCAGCTCACGCTGTTTAACCAGTTCCCCCCTGGCTCTTGCACCATCTCGTGAGAAAGAACCCCGGGCGTGCACAGCCGGCACACCCCGGGGCTGCACAGGCCTCAGCTCTGTCTGCACACGGCCTAATCATGGAATCTGGGACTCATGGAACGGGCTGCCTTGGAAGGGACCTTAAAGTTATCCAGTTCCACCCCTGCCGTGGGCAGGGACACCTCCCACTGCAGCAGGCTGCTCCCATCCAACCCGGCCTTGGACACTTCCAGGGATGGGAGTCCACAAGCCACGAGCCATTTCAGAGGTGACACCCTGGCTGCTGCAGGGGGGCAGGGGACAGCGAGGGGTGACAGCAGGGTTTGGAGGGCCAGGGAGGATGAGGAATCGCTTCTCCTCCCGCTGCTGGCGTTGTCTGGTGGATGCTCTGCACAATGGGATCTGATCACATCCCTCCTCCTGCCTCACATCAAACAGTGAGTCAGCGCTGGAGCCCCATCAGATGTCTCTGCCTTGGCTTTCAGATCTGGGAAGCAGAGAGGATGGTGCTCTGTGAGTATGCAAAGCAAGGAAAGCAGGGTGCCTTCAGATCTGCCACTTGGAAAATACCACGTTATTTACTTTCCACTGGCACCCACGTACCCCGGCAGGAATCAGCACCACTGAGGCTCCCAGGCTGGGGAGATGTTGTTCTTTCAGGGGATGCAGGTAACAACAGCTACAGGGCTGAACTGCATCATGTCTGAGTCAAATATTAACACAGAGGATATTCTCAACTTGCTAATTGAGTCAAAAAATTTACACACCCACCCCTAAAAATAATAATAAAATAAAGCTGGGACAGGCAGCAGAAGAGCCCAGGAGTGTGTTCCTCCTGCAGTTCATGTGAGGACATGAGTGA